TTTTTCTTGCATTCTTTTTAGGGATTTTGAGATTTTTGAAGAACATGTTTGTTCAGATGCTGACAAAACCGTTTGGGTGTTTGTGGGATTTTCATTTAAGAGGGAACTATTTTTGACAACATGCCAACATTTAGCAGAAATCAGAGAGAGGTTCCGGTGGCCACACACATTTATAATACAGGCTGCACGAGTCACAAATTGTCTCCCTCTTGTTAAAAAAAAGAGGACACTAAAAATCCTATTCCAGAGTTTATTCCCATGTAGACGTTGACAGGATCGCAAGTTCAGAGAAACCACGGCACGAATAGGCAGAGCAACACAGACTAAGGATAACTCAGGCATCCTTCCTTAAAAAGGACGTTAAATCTACAATCGTGTGCTCGCTTCTTAGGACCGAGTCTCAGTAAACTGCAGGAGGAGCTTTGCTTCTGCGTAAACAGGGGCCGATCTCAGGCGCGCATATGGGGACGTCCTGCCGAGCGCAGTGGGATTTACTCCCAGGGCGCTACCTCTTGACTTGCATTCCTCCCAAGTAGACAAGGGGGAAAGAAGCGCGACTGTCCAGGGTAAATTCGCTATCCCCTGCCTCCATGCGAACCTCCCGCGCACAGATTTACCGGGTTGAAAAGCGAAGGGCGACGCCAAGGGTCGCAGGCACCGGGTGAAAGGGATCAGGTGATTGGGGGTGGCAGGGAATCACGTGCCCCAGGGTCAGGCGCCTCGGTTGCTGCTGTCGCTGGCGGAGCGGAGCAGCCGCGTGGGGTGAGTCAGCGCGGGGAGGGGCGACTGAGGGCAGGGCTGCCAAGGCTGGGCTTTCGTGGAGGGCGGGGGGCGTAGATAAGGCGAGCAGAGCGGCCGAGTGGCTGAGGCCTTTGGTGACTCCGCCAGTGCTGCTGCAGGTAAGGAAGGGTTTTGCTTTCAGGGGAAGCCGGAATCCGAGGTAGGTTTGCTTACAATCGGGAGCGAAGCCTCTCACGTTACTGAAGAGAGGGGCCGCGGTCGATTCGGTGGCTTTTTTCCCAATCTGGTGTCCCCGAGATATGTTGGGGGACAGAGCCCCGTTATCGTCCATAGCCAAGCGCTGTCGCCGCTGATCTTCAAGGGGGTGCCCAAGGGATGGGCTGGGTTCGCACGTCGAGCTTCCCTGGCTTGTTAAAATCGTTATTGTGATTATGATTCTCACGATCTACCTCGCTGAAGACGGAGGTTTCGTCTGCGTGACACTCGCGGCTAAAAATGTGTGGCTGTTGTACGAAGAGGCCCGTTTTCTGGATAATTAGCTCTGAATATCAGAGGAAGTTCTCTGATTTCCGCTTAACAGGAATAATTACGAAAAGGTTTCCTGTTCCTGCCTCACTGACGAAAGAGGAGCAGAGAGGTTAGGCTGTCTGGTTGAAGTGCAGATGAGATCAATTATGATCCCGCAAACGCTTGGCCAGAATCATATTGTCAGAAGCAGCCTGTTTTTCCGTGTCGCCCACCAGTTTTGACCCGAGTTCCAGTTAATGGGCCTTGGCCGGTCGCTGTATCTCTCTGTGTGTGAGTTTCAAGTAGCTTTTCTATCCTTTGTGCTGTGCTCAAATTATTTCCACACTATGGAGTGACTCATCCAGGGATTTTCAGTTTAGGACAGTGTTGTCCAAAGTTGGCCACTTTAAGATGAGTGGACTTCAACTCCCAGAATTC